AGCTTGTGATATGTTTACATTTTTGCAGGAGCGCCCATTGGGCAAAACTTCAAAACTTCCAGGGGTTACCACCCCTTGGGGTCTACCACTTTTCAGCCTCTGGGGGAAAAATCAAGGTCCAAACCACTACAACACTCCACCCCTCGCTCCTGCGAAAATGTCAACATATCACAACTCTTCACAGTGTGTTTTGTCTGGAAAAACCCATCTCACATTAGGTTTAGATGTGGGAGGGGGCTTAGACTAGGGGATTGGATTTTGGGGCTATCTCAAACCATGACACTGGCCAACTTCAACTCTGAGTGAGCTTTGGCCACATGTGTTCTCTCCCTGCAGTGACAAGCAGCATCTCTTTAGTCCTCCCATGTTACCCGACTTGCTTTCACTGGGCACTTTCTTTTTTTACCTTATCTCCAGAAGATCCCTGCTCGGCCAGGCCGGCCTTCTTCCTCGCCTGCTTGACTTCCGACATTTGGGAATTTCCTGCTCCTTTGCCTTTAGGAGGTGGTATTTAAAAAGTGAGCATCACTGGTGGACCCCAGCACCTTCAAAAGCATTTTCCTAGGGAAAGTTAAAAGACAGAATAGTTCCATGGTTGTGACTTAGCCTTGCTAAAGTCCACCAAGTGCAGTCTTCCATTTTGAGACACTGAGTGCTACTCTTGGAGGATCACTTGCAACTAGTTTGATATTCATATTACAATAGATGCACACAAATAACCATAATATGGCTTAATAGGTTGCAATGTAAAAGACTATGATGAGCCTTGGTAAAATCCAGCTACTTGCAATCTGTCCTTCAGAGTTTCTCAAAGGCTGTGAAATTGCTCAGCCAGTTCAAGTATGCAAGGCTGGAAATATAAAATTCAACTAATTTGAAAACTTCTAGACCATATAAGTATTCTCTAAATGTTATTTTTCACTCAACATAGAGATTTTACCTGTGTATAGGTGACACATATATATATGTGCTGACATATTACTCCTTTCTGTAGAGGTTTCCTGAATATTTACAGTCATCAAAAAGTTTTATATATATATATATAAATGTATGATTTTTACCTGGAACTTGGTTTACAAATACAAGGAAAGTCAGGATATTTGGAACTTAATGTAATAAATAAAGTGTATCCTGTCTTTGCATTCGTGCCAGTCAAATGCACACAAAACCAGTAGGGTTTTTTCCTTGTATTTTCATTTTTTCATTATTTTTCCATGGAAAAGTAGGTGGGGTTTTTCATCTTGAGAAAAAACTTTAGGCTCTTTATGCATACAATATACAGAGATCTATTTGGCAGCCTTTGACAGCTACTTTGGAATGGAAGGTGGAAGAGCTTAATGAAATATATTACTGTCGTTTAATCTTTGAAACTCTATAATAATACTTCTAAGAGCAGAGCTCATGTATATAAAAATAACATGCACTGTAGTAGTTGTACCAGAAAGATAACTGTTCTCATCTTTGCTGTTGTAACAGTAAAGAAAGCTACATGAGTCATGTCTAAAGATGACACATACTCTTTGAAGTTTTTCCCACAGATTTTAATTGCTCATCTCTAGTTCACTAAACATCTACTTTCTGCAAATGGTGAAGAATGCTGAGTCCATTTAAGACTGAACAGGTTTTCAAACAGGCAGAATATGAGTGAACAAATTGCATTTTTCTATGGGACACTTGACAGTACAGAAATGAGGAATTTTTCATCCTGAAATATATTGCCAAGAGACCCTGTGGTACATGTTTTTTGTCTGTATTGAATTGATTTATTTTCCTTAAGCGTTGTGCAAGGATATTGCTCTGAAGTTAAAAATACTTACTCTTCTGTCTTGAAACAAAAAGTGAAAATTCATACAGTAGAAGTGTCCTTAGAATCAAGCATACAAATGAGACATGGTGAAACTCCAGCATAGAAAACTAATATGCTAAGAGGAAAGGGGACTCAAGATCAGAAGATAAAAAGCTAGATTTATTCAAAAGTAAATTGGAATTTTTTCATGCATATAAGGGATTGTGAAAAAAATAGCACAAGCAGTTAGCAGTTTATAAAAGCAGTTTAAATAAGGAGTATTACGAAATCTAACAGATGAGTGTCCTGAAAATTTCATTACGTATTTTCCCCACATAGAAAAGTCACTGATAAAGCCAAATAAATAAACATTATTTTATTGCTATACATAATGTAATATTTCATGTATTTTTTTGCTATTTAAACTATTTAGGTATTTTCCCCACAAAACAAATTATTTCATCACTGTCTTTAACACTACCTCTCCTTTTTTACCACTACTTCTTGTATCCTCATTGTCTGTATGTCACAGATTTCTTTTTCTATGGAGTTTTTCAGGTATGTTGCTTGTTCTTCTACCAACCTGAGAGTAACATGGAAGAAAGTTTTTATTTAGCTGAGCTATCTTAGCAGTATCCCAGTGTACTATTTACTTGTGGAATGATGACAAGATGTTTGAACCAGAGTTATGTTCCTGGCGTCATTAGCTGCTGATATGAAATTGTCAGAACAGCCTGGATTCATTTCTGACTTCTGCAAGCACCATGATTTTCCTTTGTTTCTGGAAACAATGAATATATCTCTGCTGCCTGCTTGCCCATAAAATGAGTTCATTGAGTGTAAAATTTTATCATACTTGTGAATGGGAGTACTGATTTGGAAGTGTTGTGTGCTGACCCTGCAATCAGTATTTCAGGTATCTGTGCCTGTGGCAGGTGTTGGGCATTAAGTTTTTTTTAACATTTAAAAAGATAACGTTATTTGCAAATGGGACTGAGTAGACAACTTAAAAGGAAAACAAATCTGAAGGACTAAACTCACAACTCATTATGTTAGCTGGAGCAGCTATGAACTGTTTACTAGTCTCTTCAGCTACATTCGAGTGAATCAAAGTAGAAGCACTGGAGCCTGTAACAATAATCTCTCAAAAGATTAAGTCAGAAATTAAAAAATTATCCCTTTTTTGGCACTCTTGATACTCTGCTTCTCAGTAAAACAAATCTGGAATGGGTTTATATGTCAAGTTTTAAGTAGTAGTCTCACTAAGTGGAGTAATAAAAACTTATAGCACAGCTATCTGTAGGTATGACTCCTTAAACTACTTAAGATTGAACAATAAAAATTCTCAGATCTTAAAATGAAAAGATACCTCTTTTTAACAGAAGCATGTATTAAATTTGGGCTGTAATCCCTTCCACAAACTCCAAATATTGTTTTGAATATTAAAATGTGAATTAGGTACTGTTTGGAAAGAGGACTAGTGGGCATCGTAGCTAATGCAAGCACTCTCCTGTACGGCCAGGATAATTGTGCAGAGATACAAAATCATCATAGGCAGGTGTTTGCTTTGCTGCCATTTTCTGTTCCTTTAGGAGATGTTATGGCTATATAGCTTTCAAATGGAGCAGTTCTGTTTGGTTTTTTTTCTTGTTGTTGTTTTTTGTTGGGGGGCTTTTTTGCTTGTTTGGTTTGATTTTGGGGGTTTTTTTGGGGGGGAGATTCTTTGGGTTTTGGTTTTTTTTTTTAATTACAAGGGTTTTCTGTGTCGTTTTACTTTAACGGTGCCTTTTTGGTAAAAAGTAAAGTATACTTCAGTTATTCAGATAATAATGATTTTATGGAAATACACAAAATGTGTATCCTTTTCTGTCTTCTTTTTGGTACTGGCGATACAAAAAGGTATTATATCAATACAGTGATGCAGCTCAGCTTATGCTAGGTAGAGAACTGCATGTGCGTGTGGTAGGGCTGAAAGTCTGACTGCATGAAAGGTTGATGAAGTTCTGTAAATTCCCAGCACTTATATCTGCAAACTAGTGGAAACCTCAAGTGCAGCCTGTCAGGAAGCTTCTTGATTCTTACATGGCTAGAGTGCTCCCACCCCTTACATATTTTTAGGAGAGAGAGAAACTTTGATTCCATGGTTTGCTGGAAAACCTGATAATTTTATAATGGAATTGCATTAAACTGAAGTTAGATAACCCTAACGAAAGATGAGTCAGAGAATAAAAGATACAAACTCTGGTGAGACTGTTCTTCTGAAGTGTTGTGATGCATAGAAAACACTTTTTACTTGTTACTTGAACTGGTTTTCTGACTCATATATTTCTATGTCATTTACCTGACTAATGAGACATCTTCCATCTTTTGTTCAAGGATGAAGTTTTCTCTGCAACCATCTCTCTTTTTCTTTTTTAAAAAGCTTTTTGTACATGCTTTTCCCCCTCACTTTGTTTTTGGGTTTGTGTTTTTCCTGATAATACATTGGCAAAATACCAGGGAAAGATCTCTATGTAAGGAACTGTTCTTTTGGAATAAAAGTTCAGCTTTTCAGAAAGAATGACAATGTACAATGATGTTAGTTTCTCTGTATGTGGTTTTTAGCTACATTATATTTGTGTGCTTGATACAACAATTCCATTTCTTGGTTAGATGTGGTTAATTTTTATATGGTTTCTGGATTGCAGCTCTAAGTATATAGATCAGAAGCACTGAAACTAATCTGTTTCCATACTGGAAAAGACAGTCACTATGCAGAATTACATCAGATGCAGCTTTCCATTTTATTCATTAATGCTTTTTACTAGAATACTGTCATCTTAAAAGACAGAAATTAAGTGATAAATTCTTTAACAATTCAGTGTTAATTGCTTCCTATCAATAATTAATATTGTTGCTGTGTTTATTTGCTCGTATAATACAATTAAAACCAATGCACTCTACTTCCATTTAACATGGATATTAAAATCAGTCTCACACCACACATGCATTCATGCTTGAATCAAGTCTGAAACTGTAGCCAGGTTAGGGACTAAAACCTTTGTACCTTTATTTAATCTAATTTTTGGTACGAAGGTAGCATATACTGCAGAAAACTTTTCCTAGCACCTGTGTCTGCAAAGATTTAAGCACAATGAAAAATTGCTTCAAAATTCTTAGTTATAATTTTCTGTTATATGTTTCTATTAATGATAGTCATTCTCTCTCCTTACAGTGCAAATTAGAGTATCAAGCCTGTGTCTCAGGAAAACAAATCTCAGTGAAATGTGAAGGACGTTGCCCTTGCCCTTCTGAAAAGTCCACAAATGGAGCCAGAAGTGATAGGAGAGGTGAGTGATGGTAATTTGTGTAATATTTTTAACAGCTGATTTCTAGAAGGAGGTAAGATTTTGCTCGCAGAAGATTACAGTTACCAGAAACAGTGATTATTCTTGAATAAAACCAGCTTTATTTTGTTCAAGGTTTTCTTTGCCAAGAGTTTTGAAATTGTACCTGTAGTAAAATATCACGGTGTTATCAAATGAACTGTTGTAGTATGGCTTACGGCTGTTCTTATTTTGTTCTTTTATACTCCTTGAGGTGCTTGTGGCTGTATTTAAGACAAAAATTCATTCCTTGCTTCTTCATGTTTTCAGTTGAATATTCAAGAAAACTAAGTGTGATAGAAAAAAATGGAAATTTTTAAAGTTCTTGTTACTGGTCATAGGAGCAAGTAGTTCCACTATGGAACTATTAGTAAAGGCTTCATTATATAAATGAGTCAGTTTGACAAGTGCTTGATAGGAATAAATCAGCTTCCTTTTGGACCACGCATGAGAATAGGCTGCTAGAAAATGAAGTTGCTTTGTCCTCCTCCTTAGCCATTGGTGCAGCTGAAACAAACTGGTGGGAAAAAAGTGGTGGCTAAGCATATTTTTATTTCAGTGGCTCCCAGGTGATTTTGGAAGATTGTTGTTAAACAAAGCGTGATACCATCTTCGGTGCTTCTGAATAAAGAGCTGTCATAGCATGAGGTTTTAGGGCACCATGGACATGAATTTGCCAAGAGAAGCATGACTGGAGATCTGCATTTGTTTCTTTCTTTAGACTGATCTCTGTTAAATGCAATTTTTTGTTCTTTCTGTATAGTAACACTTCTGATGAGTAACCTAAAATCTTTATGCACAAATATAATTGAAAATACAGCAGAATTAGTTTTTTAAGATTGTTTTTTTTTCCTGTAGCAACCTTATATGATAAAAGAAACCAACATTACATTTCTGCATTATGTTAACATTGGTATTTCACTATAGTTTCTTGCACAATACATTTGGAAGAGCGCATCAATCTTACTGTTTCCATTATAAACTGTAGCTACTGCCAAAACTATTTTTTTCCTAGTTTAAAAAATAAATTAATGTTCTTTTAACAGTGAATAGAGATGACCACTATAAACATTAAGTTGTATGCAGGCATACAAATCAATTAAAAAACTGCTCTGAAACACTCATTTAGGTCATTTTTTTGGTCTTCAGCAATATAATTGATTGTGTAATTAAATATTAATTGAATATATGTCATTAAATACTTCCTGTGCTGTAACTCCTCTGCAAAATTATAGTGTTTTGATGTTTTTAAGGCATTAATTTACAGTTTCAAGTAGCACCTTTAAATAAGTAGATAAATCTGTCATTTGCTCGCATTGTCAGACGGAATGAAAAGCACTGGAAGACACAGCACTGTATGGTTAATGTGGCCCCTTTAATAAGGTATATAATGTAACCCCAATGTGGTTGCAGTATTCACTAGCAATAATTTCTGCATCTCCAGGATGAATATGGGAATAATTCCTCAACAGTGGGCTTTAAGTGAAATTAAGATAATGAGTTGAAAAGAATCTCTCCGTGAATAGCAGGCCTATGATTCTCCAGTGTTAGTCTTTGAATATGGTATCATTGTCCTCAGTTTTTACCAAAACAGGATTAGTGTTTTCTCTGCTGGAAGTTTTTTCAGCTGATGCAGTTATTTTTGTCCTTGGTGTGTCCGTTCAAGCACATTCTGTTTTTTGTACTCCTGTACTAAAACACTGAAAAAAATCTAGAGACAATTTTTTTTTGCTTCAAAAAAATGGAATTGTTTTTAATTAGGATTGAACTCTTCTTGAAGATTTATGCTGCCAAGGGATCAAGATTGCTTGTGCCTAGTTATGTAAAAGAGAAGGAAAAAGGTTCCCATGTGTATGGGAATTAACACTAATCCCATTTTGACAGAATGTCAAGGCAAGCAAAATACAGGGCTTTTCCAAATGCTACATTTTATTGCAACACTGAAATTTGAATATCATTTTTTTACAAGGCCAAAGGCCAGGAGACTTGAGAAATACAAAAGTGAGCTGAGTATCATTACTGAAATTTCAGCCATTTTCGTGACAATACAAAATTTCTTAAAACAGCAGTTCTTATACAGAAGTTATAAGAATACAAGTTTTGTCTTTAAGTAGAACTCCATAAAGCGTTCTAACAGTTGGACTCTGTGATCTTGGAGATAATTTCCAACCTAAATTATTCTGTTTCCGTGATTCTAAGCTGTATACACATGTCAGTTGCTTACAAAATTGACAAAGCCAAACAGACAAAGTAAGATTATTATTCCTGTTTCAGGGATAACTGAAGTAAGGGTTTCCTAATATACATCCCTTATCTAAGGCAATTGTTCATCTTTTCAGATTAAAAAATTTACTGACTTTTTTGGTGTATCAGGAGAGCAAAGCATGTCTATGAACTTTTCCAGATAAGTCTTGATGTGGAATCCCATACTCCTTTGGGAAGCAAAATTAAACCAGTACTCAGAAAACCAGACTTTCCTTATAAAATGTATGTGAACCTAATCATAAAATCATAGGATGCTCCTAGTTGTAAGTGAATTCTAAAGTTTATCTAATCCACATCTCTGATGAATGCATGAAGCAGATGAAGGTATCCGGGTTTTTGTGAAAGCTGTCTCATTTTAATGATACATTTAGAAACATTGGATCTAATTGATGTTCAGGGGCCCTTAGACCGAATCCATACATGAAAGGGCTAAGAACTTCATCTGGAACTAGATGTGTAAGTTGTTGACAAAAAAAAAGTAACAAGCAAAAAAAGACACAATAAAATAAAGATCTTTCTTTGTCATCTCTTTGTTTTGAATTTAGTTTAGAGAAAGCAATGGGTATCATATAAACTATAAACTACAGTAAGCACTCCAATATTATTTTAGTTCAAGATATTACAAGAAAAAAAAAGATGGACATCTGTCAGTTTTTTGTACTGTCATTTAATTGATATTTAATTCATAATTAATGTAATGTATATTAGAACATTTAATTATTGGTGTAGATCAAGAACTATGTTGCCTTTTTTCTGCAAAAAGAAATAATGCAGTCTGTGGAATATGTGTCTTAGAAAAAAGGATAAAATTTTAACTGCATTTCCTTCTTATGTCATTTAATGTGGTATATATAAGGCTTGATATATATATATTTTTACAGTATAATAGCTTATATTTTTTAGCTGACTGAAAGAGCAGTTCTGAAAACTCTTAACTACTGAAAAATCTTAACTTCTGAAAAATCTTAACTCTTAACTTCAAAGGTATCTAAGAAAAGCATTCATTGTAAGTTGTCTTAAATTTACTCTACTCAAGAGTACATATATTGGGAAAGTTTAATTATTCTTTAATATAAAAAACTTGAGAGTGCCTATGTTTTATTTCCCTGTTGAGCTACACTAAAACTGTGATAATTGTGTGCTGTGACATGCCCAGGATCCTGCTCTTCCAAACAGAGTATTTCAAAGTGTGCTACAGCATCCTCCTGGATTATCTCTTTGTATATCTTCATCATAGAAATAAGGTTGGGATTCTACCCTGACACAGAGTCAAGGCAGCTGGCATATGTAGTCATACCCAAAAGCTCAGAATCAGTTGAAGGTCCTGCAGTTTAAATGGCAAAAGATATGGCATTATGGGTAAAATACTGCATATTCATCAGCTACTGAAATAGAAGAATTTGCTCTCAATAATTTTTGAGTTAATTTCTAATAAATCCTGTGATAAGAGCTCACTTGATATTTTCACTAAAATAACAGAGATAGGCTTATATTCATGGAAGAAAAAAAAGGGCTTCTCTTTATTTCATCGTCTGAGGAGGACTATATAGGTAAGACTGGAAGCTTCTATAAACATCATACTCTTTGGATCTAAGCTTTTGCCAGGTGGAATTGAAAAGGCAACTGAAATTGCATGCTGAAAGGATTTTCAGTTAGCATATATGAAAGCCTTTAATCACAGAATATAGGTGCTCTCTCAGCTGTATCCTGTTTTGTACTGAGTACTGCCGAATTGTTAATTGCTGTGGAGAGATGAGGATAAGTAACAGTAGGATTAAAGATGCTCTGGATTCTGTTTCATTCTGTGTGCATCAGTGCTTGAAAAGCAAATAGAGGGACAAATAGCAAAACAGGACTCTCCCAAATCCTCTCATTTAATTTGCATATCATCTTTTCAATACATGACCTCCACCAGTCTTCGTATAGTACAGGTATAGATGCCAAAAAAGAGCTTTTGTTTTGTTTGCATTCAGAGAATACACTGAATGGTTTTCAGACATAAAAAATAAAGAGATCGAGGGCCAAAAATAATGTTTGTGTTAACTCTTTAATCTCTACTTTGTATTTTTGCCTTTCAAAGACAGATAGTACTGTTTTGTAATTCCCTTTTTCTCTTTTGCCAGATGAACTACAGGACATCAATAGAATAAAATCTGTATTCAAACCAACATATACTAGACCAATTAGACCTGATATTATCAGTGATCAGTTATGGGATAGCCAGAAGGAGCCATTTGTGTGAGACAATGAGCAAAATTCCCATCTAGAAGGTGAAGAGGTTCATGCTGTGTGATCAAGAATAAAATTTGACTTTCAAACCTCAAATAAGACAAAGATAACCCACCAAACAAAATTAGTGTTATATTATAGTGCTGTTCGGGGTTTATTTACAAATATATTAGTATGTTTTAAAACATTTCCTAAAAGATCTAATTGTAACATTTAATTTTACACTTTCATGCCTGTTACAGAAAGTAAGTGACTAGCCTGTAAAAAGATGTACAAAGAGAAGCGTGCTCATTTTCATCATGGGAAAACTGTTCTCAGTTGTTAACTTTCTCTGAAGAATATGTGCAGTAAATGGAAGGAGGTGGTCTCAGTAGTCTGGGAGTAGCAGTAGCAACATTTTATATATGTGACAAATTTGCAGTAGGTAATTGTCAGCTTTCTCGTCTACTGTTCTTCTTAGCCATACATTT